TATATATATATTTTTGTATGTCACTGACACCACTTCCTGTCACATTGACCTTGAGCTTTTTAAAAACGGAATCTCTTGATCCTCTCTCCTCCTCCCTGTAGTTTGGGAAGTCTTGATTCTTTTGACTTAGTCTGAGAAAAAAAAAAGATCTGTACTATTTTGACCTTCAGTGCAGGAAGGTTGGTCACATCCTGGCTTCTAAAACACCCCTCACCCTCTTAAAAAAAAAAAAAAACCCTCCCAAGGTCTGGAGAAAGCTGTCAGATAGAATTTCTATTAATTTCAATGTCAGTTGCTCAGCTGGCACAGAGTCTCTCAGAATTATGCGGTTCAGATTCTGCCTTTTCTCACGGGGGCTCTGGGAACAGAAGTTTTTAATGAGCAGAACTGTAAAAGCCATGTGACCAGCAACTGTGAAAGGCAGCAGAAAAAGAAATGTATGTTTTTAATATCCATATATAATATACAAAAATTCAAATGTTTAGGAAATATTTTGTAACATTAGAAAAACAAACCCCAAACATTTGAATTGTAGTGTATCATATAGGGATATTAAAAACATGAATTTCTATTCTTTTTCTTTAAAATTTTTAATTGTTTTCAACATGAATAATATTAATAATAAGTAATGTTTCTTGAGCACCAAATCATTATATTAGAATGATTTCTAAAGAATCATGAGACACTGGAGTCTGGAGTAATGGCTGCTGAAAATACAGCTTTGCCATCACTAAATGACGTTAAAAAAATATTAATATAGAAAACAGTTTTCAATTTTAAATTGTAATATTATTTCAGAATTGTACTGTTTTTACTGTATTTTGATCAAATAAATGCAGCATAAAAATCATTCAAAAACATAAAAATCCTCGAACAGTAGTGTACATATTTTATATATGATTACATATCCCAAAATTATAATTATTACAATAGCATAATGAAATATTTGCATTTTATATATTGCTCGGAAGAAAATGTATTCAGTCAGCAGACACAGGAACATTTGAATGGCTGTGAAAGCAGAGAGATGTTTTTGGCCCCAGATAAGATAGTTACAACATCTATCAGCTGGAGCTAAATGGACCGTGCTAATCACCCAAACCTTGACCTCTTCTTCGACTCGCAAAACCTAAAATGTCAGAATGCATTGCCCCACGGTGACACTGATATAAGTGCTCTCTGCATCAGCACCTTCAATACAGTGTCAATCATCCACTCAAACATGCAGTGACAGCAGCATGTCAGTGAGAAGCTGAGACAGCTAATCAGCAGAAAGCAGCTCCTGCTCTCATATGACACTAATTTCATCAGTCCTAATCCGTTGTCTTCACAGAAGAGCGTTCTTTTGAATAATCGGAGTGCTGCTGGTATTAGTATCTCTGTGGTTTGAGAGGTTGCGTGGTTCCATGAAATCCCCCTGCTGTTTAGACACTGATTGGAGAGAACCAAGAGGTGGCTGATGACATAGAATGGCGTTCTCTCTCTGTCTGTGATGCTTTCTCACTCTTAACAGCTGTTGCAGGCTGGAGGCTCCCATTGGCCCCATATTTACATATTTTCTGACATCCCAGGAAATGTTTGTATCCATGTTAACTGTGACCTCTGCCCAAATAAACAAACAGTCTGTGACAGCAACACTGCAGAGGCTGTTGTGGTGCTTCTGCAAGTATAGATTAGATGACAGTGTAATGGTAAGCTAAAGTCTTATCTCACAGCACAAAGAAAAGAAAGCTAATGTGTGCAATTTTTGCTTCACTAAGACCAGCAAATGGAATTGCAAAAATAGTGATAACAGTTTTCCAAACACTCTTAT